GGGTCATAGTGGCGTTCAGGGCAACGAAAGGGCGCACGAGCTTGCCAGACTTGGAGCTTCACGGCACGATCTGGCAAGCCAATGCCACATCAGCGTGTCAGAGGGGCTCATGCGGTGGAGGTCTAAGAAGTGGGCTACGGACCGCTTCAGGGATCTCTGGGTGCAATGCCCTGGCATGAGGCACACGAAGGCTCTGTTTTCAGGGCCTTCGGAGGAGCTAGGTACCGAGTTGATCAACCTGGACCGAGCCCAATTGAGGCTGGTTGTAGGATTGGTCACCGGGCACTGGCACCTTAGAAAGCACCTTACGCGACTGGGCCTTGCACAAGACTCGGTCTGCGGCAGGTGCGGCGAAGGAGAGGATACCCCCCTCCATCTCATAACTCAATGCATTGGGCTCGCGGACGTCAGAAATGATGTCCTTGGGACCACCGACAACAACTTCGATCTAGTGGGCTCAGGGACGGCCAGACTCCTGCGCTTTGCAAGGGAGTCGGGGCTGCCCGCGGGACCGCTATGGTCATAGGTTTTTCCCCGCAAAGGGCCCGGGTACAATGGTCCAGAGACTGAGCGCCCGGGTAAACAAACCTCAAGGAAAAAAAAAACACGTTTGTTGACACCAAGCGAGATTGAATTATTTATTGATAATTGTATTAAATTTCATTAAAAAAATTATTTGATAGTTGATGTTAGTACTTAACCTTTCTATTTTTAACATTAAAAGATAGATTAAACTACAAAATACTATTCAGTGATTGATTTATAAACATGGATAACCTCTCTATTTGGAACGTTTCAGTAATAATTTGGTAAGTAATGTTTTAATATTTCTCTGAAAAATAGATAATCTGTTTAAATTATAAAAATACTGGATTTGTTTAGTAATATATATTAAATATATTGAATAACATATTACAAATAAAAGCTCAATAACTCTTATTTTTATTTTAAAACAGATGAAAAGTATGCCAGTAAAAAAGGAAGACAACAAAAGATCATTTTGCTAATAGCAAAATGGTAATATATTCTTATTTTGAAACATTAATTATTTATGTTTATGTTATATAAATATGTAAATTAGTTGTAAATTTAAAAATAATAATTGTATCTTTTTTAGAAGTATGAAAGTGGAATAAAATCGTTAACAAAGAGACCATTATGTCTTTGCTTGCTGAAAATCTTTCTATATGAAAGTCTATGAGGGCTCAAATAGAGAGAATGAATGCAATTTTAAAAGAATATAAATCGTATTCAGCAGCTTCAGAATATTTAAGCAAATACAATGTTTCATAATCATGAACTTAATTAAACATAGTAAAAATTGTATATATTTAAAAAAAAAAAGTAATGAACTGCACATAGCATAAGTGAGTAGTTAGAATTGTACATTTGAAATAAAATAAATTTGTATCATTTATATGAATATATCTATATTTATTTATTCATTTGTTCCGTTGTAAAAATATTATAAAATTATAAATAATAAAATTAACATCATTATTAACAATGCACAATATATATGCAGCAAATGCATAAATTAAATGTTTAAAACTCTTCATTTCATAGTCGCAGATCCATACACTTTGGTATGACGTTTGCAGTTCTCATAATAATTTTTCACGCAATACTAACGAACATTGAAAAAATGTTTAATTATTTTATACTTAACATAACAACAACTTGGAAAATCAATGTTGATTTTCTTAAATAATACTTTTAGTAAATCAAATGTATTTTTAAATATGTTTTCAGACAGAAATCACTAGTTGTCTACGACTATTACACGATTTCAATAAAATTTCTTCTTTATTCATTCACAAAGAATTAAAAAAATTGCAAAAAATAATGATAAAGCTCACAGACTCTCACTACATATGTTTTTTTAAAACTGTCCGCTCACTCGAGGAGCAAAAATGGCGGATGTGAGCATCTCTATAGTGCTCTAGTTCGTCTGATCGACACAGGGCCGTAAAATTTGTTCGGATTTGATTTTTAAAATCTGAAAAAAGAGTTTTTTCAAAGTTGATGACCTTTTTTTTTGTTTTTTAGTCTTCAACTTCAACAAGTCGTAGGTACGGAGATCAGATGGTACAGTGGTGGTTTTTTTTTCTCGAAAAAATTCGGTTTGTTTTATCGATACAATTATGTACATATCAAATAATATCGAATTATCGTAAAATCGAAAATTATCGTACAGGCTGAATTTTGGATCGTACAAGGCTTCAAATTATATGACGCGTACGATAATTATCGTACGAATGGGATCGCTGGCGCCCACAGTTTATTTCTCAATCCTACTCTAATAATATTTGGCGCTTCGTTTAAAATTTACCATGATGCTAATGTTGCGTCACCTCAATTGGTTCGATTTCGACGGACACTTTTCATATACAAAGATGTTACTACTCCTTCCCCGTTGTCCAATTACAGCACTAAAGCGCATTATGCGGCATAATGCTCAACGTTGAATGTTTCAACTAGAGCATCGCATCGCACAATCGAGCACTGTAAAAAGTGTTGCTTTCGCATGATGCTTGCAATCGATACCAACTCAGTAGTTGAAAATAACCAAATGTTTTTTAAGTTGGCATTGATCGAAATTGTATGATATTATCGTTAGTAATATTGTTTATTATTGAAAAAATTCTTAAAGCTTTCTTCTCGTCGTAGTTTTTTGGAAATAATAAAAAGTTAATTCAGACTGTTAAAAAATAAATATAAGTATGGATGAAGGTATAAACATTGACTATTTTTTTTTATATTCTACACATAAAATGTGAGTACAATTTCATTTTAAAATACAAAACTATAAATAAATTTATGAAAAAAATAAAATAAACTATAAATAAATTTATTAAAAAAATGTTAATGAAATAATCAAAATCCAAATTACTTAAAATAACCGTAAATAGTTTTCGACCAATTATTATTGTTTACCACTTTATTTATACATTAATGAGGTTGCTAAGTCTATGAATATTTTTTGTTTCAACACTGAACTTAGCGCACTCTGCTGGTGCACTTGAAAACTAATTCATGTTCCAATTAAGCATTAGCACAATGCGACATTGTGCGACACTGAGTCGCATTATGCTCTGTAATTGGAAAACGGGGCTTACCTCTACCCTCCATAGTGCCACCATACCAACCTATCACTACGCTATCTATATGTTTGTAAACTGCATTAAAATGTGCAGGGACCTTCAGTATCGCATTCCAACAGTTTAGTACAACCCCTATGTATTTTAGTAGGTGTGTGTTGTGGGTAAATTCTTTTACTTTTTTGAAGTTATATTATGGTATATTTATCAAGATAATGGCTATAGATAAGTGTGAAAAAATTCAATCGTATGTAGTCAATCTAATGTATGTTAATCTAAATACAATATATTCCATTTGAAAACATTTTGTGTGTGATCTTCGCTCTTAATGTGAAATGCCTTATAAAGATTTACAACGAAGGCATTTTGCATAGCGTGCGATTCCTAAGAAATTATCATTTTTTTCTTGTAATTTTGTAAAATAAATAAATATATGAATAAATATATCTCGATAAAAAATAGTTACATCAACATACACATCTCTGTTTAAAAGTAAAAATAAATTCGATTATTATGTAAATATTTCTTATTTGTTTCGTTTAAGTAAAGGCATTTATATTTTATTGATAAAATAATTATCAATATATATCTGTCATCTAATTAGAGCATAAATATTTGTTTATATACTATAAAAAAATAAGTTAAAAATTTTCATCATTGTAAATCAATTTATTTATTTAATTTTTGCATTACACGTTTGTATTTTTTGATTTAATTAAATGCATATGTTTTACTATAATAAATAATAAATATTGCCTTTCTTTGTTTTGTGTGTAGAATACTAAAACTAAGAAACAGCCTTCTACAGTAGTGTTCCTGTAATTAATTTTTATTAAAATAAACGGATGTTAATAATCTCCATGTAAAATGAAGTATTCGAGCGTGCAAGTAGATGTTTACGAGGTAGATTTGCGTCAAAACCACCTCTCAGATCTTATATATGATAATATGACGGAATCTGCTAATGAAACCATAGAATTAGTTTGTGAAAATTCTCATGAAGAAAGTTCTATGGTTTCTAATCTTCCACTTCTATTTGTTAATGGGTATCCAACTTCTTTAGAAAATATGACATTGGTATGTTAATATTTTCTTTAAATTTAATTCTATAATAATATAATTCAATATTAATTTGTTCTTACATTACAGACACAGTTAGAAAATTTTGTAACATTTATGATTGAGTGTTCATCAGGACATGATATTAACGAAGTTATAAATAAACCAGAATGGTGGCCTGAAGAAATAAAATTTTCTAATCCTCTAATACGACCTAAAAAGTTAACAGACGTAAGTAAGAAAACGTTTAATTATATTCGATAAATAAAATAACTATATGTAAACTGTTGACAGAATTGGATTGCAAATCTAAAAAAAATAGTGCTCAGATGTTATACATATCATGAAAGTGAATATTTGTTACGTTTTTGTTCATTTCTTGCACGATATTCACACGAAGAATTAGGCTATGTTAATAATTGGGATTCCACTACCAGTTTATATCACAAAAGTACTAATAAACTCTTAGTAACATTCCGTAATGAGAATATGGTATGTATCTTCCTATTATTTCTTATTATTCTTATTATTATTTTTATTTATTATTATCATTTCTTTCTTTTTAGAATTATGATAAGAAGAATGAAAATCTAAGGAAAACATTACTTTTTCATAATGGAATTACATCCAATTTTGCTAATAAATCTAAACAACAAACACAGTCTTTTATGATGGTTCAACCGCCTTGTGATGACATATATCTTTGCGACAACTGTGATGCAGAATTCGTTGGACTTGAAAAAATGAAGGTACAATATACTAATTAAAATATCTATAAATATTATTTTTATGAATGATTATTATGAGCTTATTGTTATAATATTTCAGGAGCATGAGCTGATTTGTTGTGAACAACAATATCACGAAAGCAACAGTTCACGTCCCAACACACCAGACTTCTCTATCAATCAACCAGAAACAGACCAAAATGAATTTTTAGAATATTTTCAATTACGTTCGAGAGAAAAAGAAGGCGAAGTAACTGTGTCAAATAAAAGCGAAGCGATTAATAATACGTATATAGCAACTAGGACCTCGTCTCGTGTTAGAGGATCAATTAATTTAACTAAATCTCGAGCAATTCCATTTTCTTCACCTGCTGGTATGATATTAGCCAAAAAATCTAAAACAATGACTGAAGAAACACAACAAGAACGATTAGAAAGAATAGAAAGGCATGTACTTGCACCACCTGTAACAAGTTCGTGTAGACCAAAATGGTTAGATAAAGAAGATGAACGTGATAAGTGGGTTACAACATATAAATTCAGTCGAGATAAACAAATTGATTATGTACATCAATATAAGTTTTCTGATGCTTTAAAAGGAAAACCAAGTAAGTATAATGCATAAATGTTAAATGAATAAATACATTTTAAATGACATAATTTAATTATTTCTTTTCTTCCTTTAGTTTTGGATATAAAATCGCAAATTCTATATGCTGCTTGTCGACCCGTTTTTGTTACTCTCGCAAAATTAAATCAAAAACAAATAGAAGATTATAAACACAATTCTCTCAAACATCGAAATTCTTCTACGAGACGATCATATAAAAAAGCTGGACCAGCATCAAAAACTAAATTAAAGATATTGGAAGAAGTACCAGTTAAAAAAATGATAACAGAAGAAAGTATGCCAATAATACAATCTAATACACCATTTGTTACATCTTTTAATAATTATTCTGAAAATAAATCAGTCACTAAAGATAGTACAAATGAAATAACAGAAATAACATATTCAGTAAAACAGAAATCAATTATGGTTATTGATCTTTGTTCATCCGATGAAGAAGAAATTGAGAAGACACTTAAATTTGATGAAAATCGGGATCCAATGAATTCTATACTCGCAGAAAATTCATTACCTATTTTATCACCAAATAAAGTTCGTTCAAAAGCTTGCATTTATCCTAAAAATTCAAATCATTGGTTAATGCAAAGTATTTTTAGTGAAGATAATGAAAATCATGTAAATCGATGTCACATTGGTGGCGTTTTAAACACACGCATCCAAATTTCTCCTGTATTAAGACCAGCACCATAAAATATAATAGAATATTTTCATTTTGAATCATAATATCAATATTTATTATTTTTACATCATGAAAAATATGATTAAAAAATTACTCTTTGTTATATTAACGTTGATTCCATAATACTTTTTATAGCAATGATTTAAAGAATTTATTATCACTTATAGCACTGTGGAGAATATACATTACTAATATATAGAATTAAAATTCTTGTATCTCTTTTTACAAAAAAAAGTAAGAAAATTTCGAAAAAAGGAAAGAAAGAAAGAAAAAGTGACTTCATTATCTTTCTACAATTACGTAGTATCACAAAAAAATGAAAAGAAATTTAGGGTCTTCGAAAACAATCTTAAGAAACATATTTAGCTCAAGAAAGTATGAAATCAACGAAAATTTAGGGAATTATATAATTTCGAAGTGATGGAACTACAAGACTTTTTAAACATCGTAAGAGTAGTAAAAGCGTGAAAATTACAATAAACAGGACACGTAGCATACATGAAGGGATGAAAGAACGACACATAGAGTATTGTTAGGAAAATAGAGTAGCAAAAGGTCATTAAGAAGACCGAGGCGTAAAGGAGAAGAAAACATTAAATTCGATCTAAGGGGAATCGCTAGTGTAAATACACCGTGGACAAAACTCGCGTAAAACCGAGAGGAATAACGTTCTTGTGTTGAAACGATAATAAAGTTTCGAGTTCGAAACGCCATGTAAAAAGAAAAATAACATTACTAATTCTGTTTTCTATTATACTATGATTACTTGTATATACCGATATATATATAAGAATATAGTTATGTTATCATTTAGTGATTATTGAAAACGTATGTAGAATATAGTAAGCAATAATAGTGTCTGATAATTACGTTTTTATTAAATTTGTTTATTATTTTATTTTAATCAATGTGATTTTTTTATTTACAAAAACTTTTTATATACGCTATTATTGCTTTTCGTTAAACAACTTTTATTTGCATAAAGGATACAATATTTATGAAGTTTTAATATGAGCAACGATAATCCCAAATTTAAAAAGATTATAAATAAATGTTAGTAAAAAGAAATGAAAGGCAATCTTTTTAAAATTATTCATTAAAAGTAACATTTGAAATAAGAATATTTTTTTATCGTAGGATTGCTTAACAAATTATTAATACTTTATTTATTTTCAGTAAATATTTATATTTTATACATATAAAAAAAAGACAAATAACACGCACGATTTTCATTCCTTTTTTTCTTTTGATCCAAAAATCTTTTTTCTGATGAAGGAAAATACTTGATCTCTCCAATCTTTTTCAATATTTTTCAATACCAATCGCTTTGTAGATATATTATGAAGCGGTCCAAATGCTAGAGCAACTGCTGTGCATGCTAAACAAATTACATTGTATGGCATACTAAAATCAGGGGTTGGAAGACTGATAAGTAAAGATTCTGTTCTTAATTGTACCAAATAATTATCTTGCGAGGCATTAAAGCTGAAATAAGCATTTGATCAATTGTATTAATAATAAGTTTTATAATATATTAGAAGTAACTCCATTAAAAAAGAGAGAAAGAGTATTATATAAAATATGATTAAACATATGTACCTTAATGATATAATACTTCCATCAAGAGGTAAAGCAGTATAATTTCTTGCAATTGGTAGCAATGCTGTGATAATAGCTGGACCCATATAAAATCCATGATTTGCATCAGGTGGATATTCTTGCCATTTTAAAAATAGATACTCAATTTCTATAGAAAACTTTGTAACTGAATGAGGTGGTAGACGTAAAATTAATTCTAAATAATATGGACTTATCCTTTCTTTTCCTGGCATGTAATGAAGTGCTACTGTAATTGATTTTATCATTATAAATATAATCTAATGAAAATTATTTTATTTATATATATTAATAATAAAAATGCGTTTGTTAATAGTATTGTATAAAACAAAATAACGATGAAGGTTTCATAATATTATTATTACTATTATTATTATTAATTTTTATTACTAAATAAAAGAAACAATAAAAATGTCTTACGTGGAACAACATTTTTCCCATTACATGTAATTTGAATAGTGTGCAAATAGACTGATAGATACCATGGAATGTTTTCTAATAATACAATATCAAGTGCCTGCCAATGATTATTATAAATCTTCGTTACTAAACTACCTTTCTGTTGACCAGAACCTATTAAATATAGAATGAATAAACATATTATTTTATGATTTATAATAAGAATTATAATAAACTTTTAAAGAAAGTATTTTTTTAAATATTATATCTATATATATAGAGAGAGATAATACTTATTTATCTAACAATTACAATAGTAATTTTTTAATAATAGTAATTAAATTTATAATAATAAATCATTGTGATAATTATGAATAGAAACAAGTACGTACCTATAATATACCTGTTTGCGTAAAGAATAGAAGGATAATTAATGACTGCAGTCTTTGTTGTACTATGTTTAACTGCAATATTAAACATCCCTTCAGCAGAATGTGATCTAATATCATATACAGCAATATCATTCTCTTGCCCTCCGCGTAAGCTTTTAAGTTTAATTGTTGGTTTAGGTGTTATTTCATAAATATGATGCGTATTATTACTTGATATATCGATATATATGTTACTTATTATCGCAAGAGGACACGATCCTTTAATTCCTATTCCAAAAAATTTCCTTATTGACCAATCCTGTAATAACAAATATAATGATTAATATTTTCTTAAGATTTCGTTTTTTATAGTATCTTACCTGCGTATCTATCATATTGTCATATATTAATGAAACTGTTAGTTGCAATTCTAAAAATGTATCCGTGCATGCTTTATTAGTGCATATTGAACGAAAATGTATTCCAAGAGAATGATAATTTGTATTATGAATGTACGCGGAATTCAACAGAGTTCCTAGACCTTTCTATAAAATAAAAATTATTCTGTAAGTTTTGTTAATAATAATGTCTATTACTATTATACACACATATACTTTAAATCAATACCTTGGAATCACATGGTAATAATTTCTTAAATGGTGTTAAATTCTCTGTACAAACTATTTCCCGTGGTAAAGAAGAATATCGCAAGTGAGTAGAATTTGGTGTTTGTTTAACAACACCGCGAGGACGAAAAGTAAATTTTGGTGATACACTGTTAGCAAAATCAACAAAATTTAAGGAGACGCAAAGTAAACCTGATAATGCATTAGTAAATCCCTTCCATTCTTGATCAATGCTATGCAAGAAAAAAAAATAGAAAAGTATAGTTTTGTAAATTAATGACAACACTTTTTCTAGAGATAATATAAGTATAATAAATAAATAATTTGATTTACTTGGAAACATTTTTATTAAACCAAGCATATATCTCAGCTCCAGGACCAGCATCATAGAAAGGATAACCCCATTTTTGATAATTCCATAAACCTTGAGTTAAAGTAATATGCAATTCATCTATTTTATGACGTCCTATAATTTCACCTAATCCTCTGGGAAACAAATGTGTGTGATGAACTGAAATATATATTATATTTAAATATATTTGTATAAAATTATATTTTCATGCAAAAGTGACATACAAGATAATCAAAAACTTTACATACAAGATTTTGGTGTATTTGATGATTTCCATAACGTTGTAAATTGAAAATAAGCATAAATATGACCGCTTGGTAAAGGTTTTAAAAACAATTCTTCATTAAAACAATCAGCTTGCGTATTAACGGTATTTATTATTCCTAATAAAACACTAATAACAAGTAAGAAGCATACTTTAGACGATCTCATTTTTTAATAATCATTGACAGTTTTAAATAAATGAATGAAAAATACAATTGGAGTAAAAAGTTTTTAGAAAAGAGATATAAATTAATAAGTTATCTTATAGAAATAAATTAATCTTTTTTCATTACATTTTAGGCTTGTAGGTGTTTAGGTTTATAATCTGTAAAAATAATTCGCCTTAAAAGTCTAATAACGCTTAATATTTACTAATCTCATAGTTCACAAAAATATCTATAGGTGACACACATGTCGTCAGGAGTTTAAAAAGAAATTGAAAGAAAACATGTAAAAAAGTGAAATAGTCAATAATAAAAAGAAAAATAATGTACAATGATTAAATAATTAATATTAAATTAAATATATATTTAAGTATTTAATATATATTATATGTAATTGATGTTATTGTTATCAAAACAAAAAAAAACAAATATCTATATATATAATAAAACATTTACTATTTTTTTTTATTACATATTAATAGTTTATATATATATATTGTTATGTCTCTGTAGATTTTTCTTATTCTTTTAACGTTATCTTTCAAAATTGTTGACGATGATGTTCACACGCTAGCGGCTGGGCAGAGCACACCTTATTACCTGTTTGTTCCCATGGCGTAGTGATACTTAAAATTGCGGTGTATGTTCTCTAACACCTTTTTAGTTAGTTACAGAATGGTACTCACAGAATACACTACGAATCATTATGCATTCCTAGTTACAGAAAATATTTGAGAATAAATTAAAGAATCTTGAAGTGCGACTTTACGTTATCAAATAAACAATTAAATGTGAGTATAGTTTAGACATTAAAATCTTGTGTAAGTTATTTTGAAAGAAAGTTAAACCTTTCTCCCAAGGCATAACATAAATTTGGTGGCAGCTAAAAAGGATATCTTGAGTCAGTGCATCAGAAACAATTGGAAACATGAGAACAAGCATCTTAATGTAAGTAAGATTAGGTTATTTACATATGCAAAACGGCAATTTCGTAAATTATCGCGACATAAAAATTTATTCTGACGAAAGTGAAGAGCCTAGTGAAAATTCGATAAACTTGTCAGAAGTGTCTTTCAAAATGTCAAAAACACAAGAGGAACTCCTAGCTATTATTGATTCACTACAAAAACAAAATAATCTATTAAATAAGGAAGCTCAAGCTCTCAAGGAAGAAAAGGAGGAAAATGAAGAATTACGAAAGATGGTGCAATTATTACGAGAGCAAAACATTAATTTAAGTGCGCAGTTGGAAATTTTTACAAGAGAAAAAGATGAAAAGCGGGAAGGTGAGAGTACACACGTTCCCAGTGAATCAGATTATTAAACTCTTTAAGAATGAAAGATTTGAAATCTCATTTAGAAGTAATCACGGAATTTGACGGTAATAATATATCGATCGAAACCTTTATTTTCGAAATTAAATCAATTTTTAATGAAGTTCCGGAAGAGTCACGGGTGTTATTCATTCGGTTAATCATTTCAAAGAAAATAGTTCGTTAYGCTAGAAAAGTGATTGACGGTAATGATATTCGATCACTAGAAGACTTGATTCAAATATTACGTATTAATTTTGGGGAAAATAAATCATATGATGTCGCGTTATTGGAACGAAGTCAATGTCAACAAAATAACCAAAGTGTTCTCGATTACAACAAAAAGTTTAATGATTGCCATTTAAATGTAAAAYGTGCGCTTAATAATAATTCAGAATTTGATGCGGAAAACCGAATGTTTATTTTAAAGAATGAAGAAAGACAGGGTCTCGCTCACTACGTACGGGGTCTTCGCGCTAGCATTAAATTATTTGTAAAATCTGGCAAACCAACCACGATTCGAGAAGCTCAAAATCTAGCATTAGAAACAGAAAAAGAAGAATTGATTTCACAAATTATTTACAAAAAGACTCCTGTCAACAATTACAAGGCTTCGAATAAATCACAGGAAAACAAAAATGCAAGGCCATTAGGTCAAGGAATTCCACAGAAACCAGCGCAGGAAAACAAATATGCTTGTCATAATTGCGGAAGTTTTGGACATTTTATGAAAGTCCTCTTAAACGACGAGTATCATATCAAAATTTTCCATCACGGCAGGTGCCAAACGTTCCACCAAATCAGATAAAATATACTTAATGTCAAAAAACAGAAGAAATCCAAGAGCAAGCTTCATGCTCAGAGTCGACACCGCCGTCGGACAGCGAAGTCATTCATTCCTGGCAGACACAGGAGCAGCTGTAAATGTTATTAAATTAAAATGTACACTAGGGTTACCAGTAAGAAAAATCAACACAGAAATTACTAGAATTAATGATATCCCAATTATTTGTAATCAAGAGTGTAAAATTACAGTTAATAAAATAGATCATATTTTCTTAGTAGTTCCGAATGATTTTCCGTTAGAAGAAGATGGAATAGCAGGTCGACCGTTTTTAGAAAAAGAAGATGCTATAATACTTACGAAGAAAAGAACAATTATTTTTAATCGGGATCAGTCACAAATTCTCAAGTTGCGATGTGAATATTCAGCTGAGCGTAGTCAAGTATTAAAAGAAAATACTCGACTGTCTTACATTATTAAAGCTAAAGAGAAAGAAGAAATTTGGGAAATCATTGATTCGTATCAAGATATTTTTTATTTACCGGGTGACCCTTTACCTACTACAAATTTGGCGGAACATACAATAGAAACAACAGATGAGATTCCTATCAATGTTAAACAATATAGGTTTCCACCTACCCAACAAGAGGAAATTGCCCGGCAAGTTGAAGAAATGAAGGGGAAGGGAGTGATTCAAAACTCAAGTTCCCCTTACAACTTGCCATTATGGATTGTACCTAAAAAACAAGATGCATCAAATAAAATAAAATGGAGAGTTGTAACGGATTTCAGAAAACTAAATGACAAAACAATTCAGGATGCATACCCGATTCCCAACATTGAAGAAATTCTGGATCAACTTGGAAATTCCAGGTACTTTTCTGCTTTTGATCTTGCAAGTGAATTTCACCAAATTGCGGTAAATCCAAAGCATCGTATGAAAACGGCATTCAGCACACTCCAAGGTCATTTTGAATACTTGAAAATGCCTTTCGGCTTGAAGAATGCTCCAGCTACATTCCAGCGAATGATAGATAACGCTTTAAGGGGTCTTATCGGAAAAGTATGCTTCGTTTACCTCGATGATATCATTGTATACGGAAGAACATTGGTTGAACATAACGAAAATCTGAAAATTGTGTTCCAGCGATTAAGAGAAACTAATTTGAAGCTTCAGCCTGATAAGTGTAAATATTTGAAACCCGAATTGCAATATCTAGGTCACATCATTACTGAAGATGGAGTTAAACCGAACCCAAAAAAATGTAAAAGTGTTTCAGAATTTCCAACTCCGAAAAATATTAAACAAATAAGACAATTTTTGGGAATGACCGGATATTATAGAAAATTTATTAAAGATTATAGCAGGAAAGCGAAAGCCCTAACTGATCTGTTACGGAAAGATAAAAAATTTTATTGGGGACAAGATCAAGAAAAATCATTTAATCTTTTAAAGAAAGAATTGTGTTCAGAACCAATATTGGCATACCCAGATTTCACTAAGGAATTCATTCTTACAACAGATGCTTCTGGTATCGCCATTGGTGGCATATTATCCCAAATTAAAAACAATCAAGAACATCCTGTTGCATACACTAGTCGTGTTTTAAATAAAGCAGAGAAAAATTATTCAACAACTGAACAAGAATTACTAGCAATCGTGTGGTGCGTAAAACATTTTCACCCATATTTATACGGCAGAAAATTTAAAATTGTTACTGACCATCGACCTTTGGTTTGGTTAATGAACCACAAGAATCCTCATTCAAGATTAATGAGGTGGAGAATAAGTTTAGAAGAATATGATTATGAAATTTCCTACAAAAAGGGTAAACTCAATACTAATGCTGATGCATTATCGAGAAACCCTATTTTTGTATTTCGARGAATGGATGCTGATACTTTATTGGATTCAGCATCAGAAGAAGAAGATTCRGAAGAGTGTACATCAAACAAGAAAAGAAGAAAGGATATATTGAATCCAAGTTCAAGAAAAAGGGTACGTACTCGAGAGGACGATCCTACAAACAGCAACGAGGAACCAGTAACCCTAGCCGGTAAACGGAAACAGAATTCAATAGAAATGGATTCAGAAATAAATAAAAAACGAAGAACATTGGAAACAGAATGCAGAAAAGGTAGTGAACAAAATAATCAACCTGAAGAACATCATCAAGAAGATCATCACCAAGAAGATGTTAGAGAAAAAGAAGAAAATGAGAGAGAACAAGAAATTATTAAACTAGGAAAACAGTTATATTTGACAAATTCAGCGATACCCGAGGGCAGCGTTGATGTGTCATTTGTCCGAGATAATGGAGGACAAACAACAGAAGTTTATCTTGAAGAAGATCACGGGGAATATCATATTATCGTCGAAGCAAATTCACATAAATCAAAAGATGAACTGAAAGAAAAAATTAATGAATTGTTGTACTTAGCCGTTGCTGAAGAATTCAAAGAATTTGACCACAATCAGTGTGCTCGATTAACGGGATTTTCCAAGAAAGAAATTGAGAAAATCTGGAAAGAAGTATTTTGCCAAGGAAATACTACAGTTTTTCTACACGATAAAGAAAGAATAGTACCCAAGAAAGAAGATATCAAGAAAATATTGAAGGAAAATCATGATAGTCTCCTTGGAGATCATGGTGGAATAAAGAAAACATATTATAGAATTAGTGAGAATTACTTCTAGAAAACTTTAAGAAGAGACGTCGAAGCTTATGTAAAAAGATGTCAAATATGTCAGAAAAATAAGGTCAATAGACATCCTACGAGAATGCCGATGATAATCACAGACATTCCGAAGAATTTCAATGCCTAAACTATACTAACATTTAATTGTTTATTTGATAACGTAAAGTCGCTCTTCAAGATTCTTTAATTTATTCTCAAATATTTTCTGTAACTAGGAATGCATAATGATTCGTAGTGTATTCTGTGAGTACCATTCTGTAACTAAC